AAATGATTTTTGCGCTCTGACTCGGAGCCTTTGCACGTCTGTTTGAGGCTTACTTTTCAGTCTGCATTTTTGTCTACCTCATTAATTTGCAGTCAGGGAGGGAGACACATTACAATTATGAATCTAGAACTGTAGCTACATTGGTAGAATATCCTCTGAAACATCCTAGTTCGTTTCGCTCTCGTTTTTCACAGTTAGTTTGTTTTTCTCTCCTGCAATCAAACAAACATCGCTTTATCTCCACAGGAAGATCTGATGTCACATCAGATCCTGAACTTGGCAGCTGCTCTGTTCGGCTGCACCGTATAAACGAGCAGTCACCACGACAAGATGATCCCTACGCAGGTACACAGTTGGCCTTTTAGCAGAGAGTACTGCTGTGCGTCTTTTTTAAGTGTCTAACCCTCATGAGTGTGAATCAAGCTGGAGAACAGCAGCAGTCGTTTGAACAGATTTCTACAGACGCCTGGTAGAAGGAGAGTCGATAATGCTGCCTAATTTTCTTTTGCACCATTGAACCAGTATCTAACTGGGGCTGTGACCAACTGGAGACTCATCTGACTGATTCTTATCTGAGTGACAGGAGTTTTTGTGTTGATGTTGGTAAGTTTATCTGCTTCAGTGCTTCTTTCCTGCGGGATCCCACAGGACTCAGTTCTTGGACACCTTTTGTTTTCACTGTATCTGCTGCTCCCTTTGGGGTCCATCCTGAGGAAACTTGGCCATTCGTTTCATTATTATGATGACTATCAGATTTATTTGAGCCATATCTTAAGAAGTCTGTTACAAATCTCAGGATGGTTTTAGACTCTGACCTCAAGTTTAATAAATATGTCAACTCTGTTCTGCTTTAAGCTTTTTCCAGTTAAGGCAGATATCTAAGATTAAGTCAGTGTTGACCAGATCTGGCCTTGAAAAAATGGTCCTTGCATTTGTTACAACCCGGCTGAACTACTGTAACGCGCTTTATGTCGGGGGCAGTCACGTCTCCAGCTCGTCCAAAATGCTCAGCTCTGAACAGGAACTCTTAGGTTTCAGCATATTTCACCGCTTCTGTCCTCCCTTCACTGGCTCCCTGTGCGTATCAGAATTGATTTTAAATTCTCCTGTTGACCTTTAAGTACCTAAATGGCCTTGCACCGTCATATATCTGATCTACTTCAACCGTGTGTTGCTTCTCGAGCACTGAGCTCATCTGACCAGCTGCCAGGTTGAAGCTCAGAGGAGATCAGGATTTTCAGTCGTGGCTCTAAATCTGGAACAATCTGCCCCCCCAACATTAGACAGGACCCGCCACTTCCTGTTTTTAAATCTCTCCTAAAAACACCAGTTTCTTCTGACATTTAACAATGTCATTCAATATTGCGTTGTTTTTGTGTTTTTTTATGTTTTACATTTTTTGCTTTTGATTTTTTTCTGTAATTACTGCCTTTTGATCTAAGTTAGTGTTAAAGTTAAGCACTTTGGTAAGAGCTGCTTGTTTTTTTAAATATGCTTTATAAATAAATTTGACTTTGACTCAAAATTGCAAAGGAGTGCAAGTCCCAGGCTTTTAACCCACAGATGAGGACCCCTTCAAGAGCCCGGGGGGGGATTCTGCAGCCGGACCAGAGGCTGTTGAAGCCCTGATGGCTTCTGACAGTAATGTCTTCATGGGTCCACAGTGGACTCAGGCCAGTGGCGGGCTCGGGTACCAATCAAACGCACAAACTGTGCCCAGAGTTTGTGCTCAATGGTATCTCTGTGTTGGAGGAATGCATGCGAGAGAAGCGAGGAAGCAAGAAGATGGGGCGGCTTTGCCAGTCGGGACTGTGCCAAAAGGTGCGGGTCCCTTTTCTTCAGCTGCTCCGTCGGTTCAGGCCAGAGTCCAAGTCTTCAGGGGAAATATATTTGGAAAACTGCACTGACATCTGGCCAAACCATAAAAAGTGTTTACGTGCGTCTCTGCCCAGGGGAGAAGAAATTACGAACGACGAGTCTTCAGCATGTTGTGGGGGGGGGGGGGGGGGGGGGGGGCGAGTGAGGGGGTGGGGGGGGGCAGATTGCACATTAAGGGTTTGTTAGATTTGCTGCTGCACCTGTAACTGATTACATGGCTGTTTGGTAAAATCAAATGTGCTAACATCGTCGAGGCCTAAATGGCCTCATGGGGCATGTTGACCCGAGGGCAGCAGGACGGTTAATGCAAACACAGACACGACTAAAAATAGTTTGTGGAAAAGGCGTGCGTTTAGCAAGCTTGTGTCCATTAGCAAGTTTCGATGTCCTTCCTTTAGAGTTTTTTTGTTGCTCAACCTGGAGCGAAAAGGTCAAAGGTTATCCATCGCTAATCCATTGTCAGTAATGGTCCCTCCTTTGTGTTCCCCCCGGGGTGTTAAAACCAGATCGTTGGGCTGGATTAGATCACAGGAGGGGGATTGATGTGTTAATCATAAATTAAGCGCTAAGCCTGAGCGGGCAGGTCAGTCTGGGGTCAGCGGCTCAAGTTTTAGCAGAGCTAAAAGTGTGAAAAGTCACAGCTTACTAAATACCAAACAGCCCGACATCATCAGCCAGAAAAACAAAACCATGTAGAGTTGTGTAAAGCTGATCTTTTAAAATGTCATTATATAAAGGATCTATTCAAACCTGAAGTCTCTCAGGGGTCTGCAACTTGTGGCTTTGGACCCAGATGTGGCTCCTGGTAACTTTGACCAAAAATAACACGAACCAGAGAAATGTTTGTATTTTAATCGATGACAGAAACGAGTAATTTGTAGGTTTACTGTTTTTTTTTTTTTTTGCAGTGCGTGTCTAAAGTTTCTGCAGCACAATAACCAATAATACAAGTCGGGCCAAACACTTTTAGTACAAATAACAATTACACCTAAATCTACAAAGGAGATACGAGGTTGTGTAAAATGTTAAAAACAGAAAACAATTATTTGAAAATCTCATAAATTCACATTTTATTCCCAATGAAATGTGGTAAATATATAAAATGCTGAAATTAAGAACTTATACCAATAGAAGGTCATTTTGAATTTGATGGCAGCCATACATTTTGTGAAACAGCCAACAAAAGCTGCAAGGCTGAAGGTCAGTACTGGATGGTGGTCGTGACCTTCAGACCCTCAGGACCTGCATAAAACCAGGTCTGGTTCTGTTCTGGGCTCAGGAACTCTTCCACAGATCATCGTCTGTAAAAACAGTTCATCCACAGATGCTGCTTAAAGCTCTCAAAGAAGAAGCCAGATGTGAACACCATCCAGAACCGCTGCCGTCTCCTCGGGACCAGAGCTCATTTCAAATGGAGTGAGATGAAGAGAACTGTTCTGAGGTCGTTCAGGTCCAAATCTGAAGTTCTGTTTGGAAACCATGTCCTTCCGTACTAAAGATGAGATGGATGGATGATAAGAAGATATATCAGTTCCTCTGACATGTGCAGCTTACACATCTGGAAAGGCTTCATCAATGCAGAAAAGTGTATACAGGTTTAAGAACATCTGCCCCAATCCAGGACTGTTGGAATAGCTAGAGTCCATCACACCAGAATGAGACAAAACCTCCAACAACTGGTCTCAGATCCTCCTAAACTTCCAACAAGTGGTCTCCTCAGGTCGTCCAACATCTGGTCTCCTCAGATCCTCCTAAACTTCCAACAAGTGGTCTCCTCAGGTCGTCCTAAACCTTCATCATATGGTCTTCTCAAGTCCTCCAACATCTGGTCTCCTCACATCCTCCTAAACTTCCAACAAGTGGTCTCCTCAGGTCCTCCAACATCTGGCCTCCTCAGATCCTCCTAAACCTTCAACATCTGGTCTCCTCATGTCCTCCTAACATCTGGCCTTCTTCAGGTCGTCCTAAACCTTAAACATGTGGTCTCCTCAGGTCCTCCTAAACCTTAAACATGTGGTCTCCTCAGGTCTTCCTA